GGGCTGTCAGCCGCTCCTCCCAGTTTATGTCATCAGCACACTTGCTGAGGGTGCACTCTGTTCTCTCATCCAGGTCATTGATGAAAACATTGAATAGTACTGGTCCCAGTACTGACCCCTGAGGGACTCCACTAGATACATGTCTCCAATTAGACTCTGTCCCATTGACCACAGCTCTCTGACTTCTTTCCTTCAACCACCTCGCAATCCATCTCACTACCCGATCATCCAGACCACACTTCCTCAGTTTAGCTGTGAGGATGCTGTGGGAGATGGTGTCAAATGCTTTGCTGAAATCAAGATAAACCACATTCACTGCACCACCATCATCTATCCACCTGGTTATGTCTTCATAAAAGGCTACCAGGTTGGTCAAACATGACTTGCCCTTGGTAAAACCATGTTGACTGCTCCTAATGACCCTCTTATCCTTGATATGTCTAGAGACAGTGTCAAGAATAAGTTGTTCCATCACCTTTCCAGGGATGGAAGTGAGGCTGATTGGCCTGTAGTTACTTCGGTTCTCCTTCTTGCCCTTTTTGAAGACTGAAGTGACCACATTTGCTTTCCTCCAGTCCTCAGGCACCTCTCCTGTTCCCCATGACTTACTAAAGATGATGGAGAGTGGTCTAGCAATGACTTCTGCCAGTTCCCTCAGCACCTGTGGGTGCATCCCATCAAGGCCCATGGATTTACGTATGTCCAGATTGATAGATATGCCTTTTCTACCTCCAATTGTTTTTAACATCCATTCACATTTTGGTAGTCAAATTCAGTGTAATGGCCAACAATAAAAACACTGTCTTGTAACATTCCCAGTCCAAGAGAAGGTTCTGCTCCTGTAATATTTTCAGTTTGCTTTAATGATTTGAAGCTTAGCTAGAGCGAGCTAGATGACCTCCAGAGGTCACTTCCATCCTCAACCATTCTGTGACCAGGTACCTCTACAGACTAGAGATAGCTCCCCTCACCATTCAAAGCTGATGTCGTGGGTATACCCAGTTGCTTGCTGAACTCCAATCCACTCTGTTGGCATAGCTAACTCAGTTTTGGGGAAAAAAAAAAAATAAAAAAAATCACTTACTGCTATATCAGGATCCAAAGAGAAGAGATTTAGTCGCTCTGTATTTCGAGAGGCTTTCACTGTTTCTTCTGTTTCTGTGATGTACTGTGGTGACAGACAATAAATTAATTTTCTGCACAAGAACAGAAATCCGTAGAATTGTTAGACTTCTAAATGAATGATCAATGTTTCACTTCTAACAACACTTCTCATTTCTGCAGTAGTTATCCCAAAGCACCTTCAAGCACTCTTTGAAGGTTATATGCTTGTGAAGCAGGGATTTTCAGGCCATGATATACTTCTAAGGAATCCCAAAACTGATCAATTAAGTAATTCAAATCATATGTGTCACTAAAGAATCCATTGTGTAAGATGTCAGAACAGTGGATCACTGCACTAAAATCACTTTAAGGATTCCCAAGTTAAGGAAAACAAACCCAGCCCCACAGAAAACCACTTGTGTCAGAGGGAGGGCAGAAAGGGGAGCAGGAAAGCACAGCTCAGCCTTACAGGCAGGCAGACACACAGATTACAGTGTGTCACCCAAAGGTAAGGCTAGGAGTCCTCTCACCATCCATCCTTCTGCCACAAGGCAGGATCGTTCACACCCATTTCATTTCTGAGGGACACACACCTAAGTTAATAACAAGCTCTGATAAAACCAACTCAACAACCTCCTGAAGCCACCTGTTACTTTCCTACTCTGCTTTCAAAAAGTTTATTCTTATGCCTAACTTTGATAATCTTTTCCCTACTATTTAAGCCCATTCACCCAACATATGAAGTACACCCTACACATTCCCTTCCCCTTACAGATCCCTCATGGTATCTTTGAAACCTTTTTGTTTTTTTCAGTCTAAACCTGCTCAATTCCTTCAGTCTTTCTTTGCACTTTGTTTTTCATAGCTTTTCTTTATTTTTCAATCTCTGAACTAGTAATGGAGTATACAGCTTTACTGGTTGCCCAAGACTTAGTACAAACCTTAGCTGTCATGGTACAGGCTGTGCTCTTGTTCAGGTCCCATTCAACATTTTGTGTTTTTCACAACAGCATGACATTGCTGACACACATCAAGTAACAAGCAGACACTGCACAGTAGGACCAAGAGCTCTATGTTCACTTCCTAACATGCCCCACCCACAGGCTGACTTGCAGAAGCAGGTCCTGATGTGTCCCTGGTGTACTGGTTCCAGCAGATGGGATCAGGAGATTTACCTGCCATGGACTAGGGACAGGCCACAGATCACTGCTGCAGCCAGGCCTATACAGCAAGGGGCAGGGAACAGGAATTAACCATATAGAGGGCAATACAAGTATCGCACAACACACAGAATATCTATTTTTGCCTTGCAGGCCACCAGTGGTCTTTCAAATATCTTTAAAATATCTGCATTAACTAAACCATTAGAAAGTATCTATCCACAGACGAGATGGTCAGGTACTACTGTTGTCCTTACTAGATAAACTCAGTTACATTTTATCTGGTCGGATAATTGTTTTGTTTTGTTTTTATTTTGTGTTTGTTGCTTTTTTGTTTGCTTGTTTGTTTGGTTTTTTTTTAAATTCTAGGTGACCACTTTATATATAAGAACACAACCTACAGTAAAATGTAGACCAAATTCTGTCCTCATTTGCATACACAGCTTTCAGTTCAAATCTGTGGGAGTAACATCCTCAAACAGCATTTGGCTGTGTAGATAGATAGTATCTATAGTAGCTCACTGACAGAAAATTACAAACAGATCATACATTCATTTAAGAAAAAGCAGTGAAATATTTCCAACCTAGCTTTTCATCAAAAAGCTTCTTAGCACCATCTACAATTTTCTCATCCACATGAAGCATTTTATGAGATCCAGAAGACAAAACGCCTCCCCTGATTCTGCATGCATCTTTCAAGGAAATTACAGAAGGCGATGAGCAGTTCAAAGCTCGTTTCCTTGCAAGTCACACAGGAAATCTTGGCTTTCCAAGGGCCAAACTCTTCTGAAATGCAGTTAAAAAGAGTAAACATTTCACAGATAACTGCGGGGACCAGACCCTTACAGCCTTCACAGGTCTAAATCAAACCACTCTAGGGAGCACCTACTTTCTTTACATCCAGCAGACATTCTCTCATTTAAACAAAGCTGTCAGCTGTTCAGAAAGAAAACTATTCCTGTCATTTGTCATGGCTCTAACAATCACAACAGGCTGTGCTATATTTTCAAACCTTTCACAGTATTAATGATCATCTATTGGCAGGCTTTTTTTACCTAGGTAGCACTTTCCACTAAGCTTGTAAAGATAAATATAACAACCATTACTTTTGCAAAGTCTGGGTGCAAGGTGTTCTCTGAAGAATCAGTCTCTTCTTGAGAGCAATCATAATTCACCGAAACTACTGCAGGGTCTTGAAAAGAAGAAAAAAAAAGGAAATGTTTTTATTATACTTGCTATTACCATTGGTTTTGCAAAAAAACGCAACCAAAGAAACCCAAAAAGAAAATCTACCCTCATGCTCTTTCGTTTTATTCCATCTAGTACCATCAGGCTAACAAATGGAAGATACACTAATGTAAACCTCTGTCCTCCTCAACCTCATCTCCCACTGGTGCTTACTGTAACTCAGTCTGTATTTAAGATTTCAAACAAGAGGCCTGACTCTACTCAGTGAAACATCTCACACATTCTTCCATGACAAATATTCATGCCCACAACAAAGACACCTTCCTTTGCTCTCTTGGTCCCTTCTGAGGCAACACCAAAGGTTTGTGCCAAGCGAAAGATTTTGGACTCACAGTAAAGGAAGCCTTCAGTGAGGCAGGCAGGACCTTACCCTCTTTTTGGGAAGGGGAGGGATTCAGTCTGGCCTCCATGAGCTATAAATTCACAGATCAAGAAAACAGCACTATACAGCAACCCCTTTGCTTTACTTAGCCCACCAGGGACCTTTTGGCTTTCACTAGGTAATTCAGCCCAATGTGAAATAAGTCATTATGGTCATTTAGGGCTCTTCTGCCAAGAAAACATCATGCCTTTTGACAAGTTAACTCCATAGCACATTCCTGTTGCTTGTTATCAGGGTTTTTACCAGTAGAGACTTCTGTTTTCTGTTAGCCTTATGTCTTTGACCTTTTATGCACACATTTCTTCCTGTTTCATTAATATCCCTTACGGGTGGGATTTTCAAAAATACTTCTCTGATTCTGAAGTGCAAGTCTTATGTGCCTCCAAATTATAAAAACATCTTTGGCTATACGAAGAGTATCCTGCCCCTCCAAAATCAGAATGTATTATAAAAAGCCTTCAATTAGCTCTGAACTTCCCCGAGATTCAGATGAATGTGGATTCAAACCTTTAATTCAGCTCAGAGCACAACCAGTTCAAATCTGTATTAAGGTTTCCAGTGTTTTCAGTCTTAGAATTTCAGCTGGGGTTCATCGAAACTGAATGTGGATTTATTATGTGGAAGAATGAGTTACTGCCACATGAAGAGTGCAGTATAACAGAGCATCCAATTCTTTCTTCCACAGTGAAAGCTTATTAATATGCAAACTCACAAAAGCAAAAAATGAAAAGTCAGTAAGCTTCCAGGCAAAGAGCAATATACCACAGCTGGGGTTGGTTTTTTTTTTTTTAATTATTAGCTCCAGATTTTTAAAGAAAACAAAATGCTAGAAAAAGAACTGATCTAACCTCTCTGCAGCACAAAACTCTTTAAAATCTTCAGATTCCCAAGACAAATACAAAGTATAGCAAGATCATCAACAGAGCGGACTATATTTGAAAAAGAGTTGCATATGCAAAGCAGAGCCACAGTGCTCCTGCTGATTTTGTTGGGAGCAGCTTTACTTCCCCCAACCCTTTTGAAAATGATCTGTGGGGAGTCAGCTGATATTGTTCAAGGATTGCCAAAAGACCAGTGCTGCTCCATCAGAAATCAATAGGTGCAGAATCCATTACAGACTCAGGCAGTTAAAATGATTCAGTAGTGATCTCTGAAGGTTCAATTTTTTTCATTTGATTAAAAACAACCCAATGCAAGAGACTATTCACTCTTACCAAGTTTCAGATCAGTGAGATCTGCACTTTTTCTCTCCTGAATGGCTCCCTCTGGATTTATTTGTAGGATTTTGTTGAGAGTGAAAATCCAGTCATCCATATCCTGCTCATTTTCGGCTGCCAGCACAAAGTATGTGAGGTCATTCATTTTCAACTCAAAGGCATGTTTCCTAAGCCTGTTATTCTGTTGGAACAAAAGGAAAAGAAAAATAAACACTAGAACTAATTATAAAAAGGTACTGAAAAAGGCATCCATAAGATGGACTTGTATATGGCAACTGCTTAAAAATAACATTCAAGCAAAATTCAGTGACTTTAAAGAAAATCCAAGTAGTGTGATATTAACACAAATTTATGTCAATTTATTGTTGCATCTTTTTGCATCTAAGATCTATGGCCAAATATATGTCTTCTGTTGAGCCACAGAAATGTAAAACTACAGACAATATCACTTCAAATTAGTAGGGAATACCTCCGAAGTGGATTAATGAAAGATCTCTGATGGTGAAGTACAGCATTGCTACATGAGTCATAGTTGTCTGGAGAGAACAATTCTAAAGCCCAAGCCTCCCACAACTTACCAGCACACCAGACACTCAAAAAGATACCAAGTAGTGCTAAATCATACGAATATTTGCTCAGTGGGAACAGAACTGACTTCACCAAATTCAAACCAGCAAGCAAGTGAGGTCAGCACGCAATCAAAGACTCTCCATCGCTGACTGCTGGGGCTGGACCTGAATATTCAAAGCTAACTGTGAACAATTTATAAAATCTTCTGCTTTGAGATATTTACAGATGCTGCTAACAAACTGCATAAAAGTAACAACTTCTGAACACCTAATGAAGTTAGAAACATTGGGGTTAGGATGAAAACATTTCTACAAAATTTTATTCTTTCTATGTTTTTCTGCAAGAGCTTCTGGATGATATGAGTTTAAACCTGGAATACAGATTAACCAGTAAATCCAGAAGATTGCAACATGATAAATTCCTCCATGTGAAAAGATTACAATGGGTACTTCCCACCGCCGCTTTTGTGTCAGAAGGACTTCAAGAACAACCAAGGCCATTTCATCAATTCTTTGCAGAAGGCAAAAGGTGAGGTATAGTGCTGCTCAGTCATTGCAATGTTATCCTTTTCAAGTATAGATTAAGAACCAATGCCCAGTGTTCTGGCAACAGATTGAGTTCTGAGATCTGTTCTGCACCACCAGCTTTTACCTGCAGTAGATGGTTAATCCATCAATTCCTGTCCTAAGAATTAACAGGTGCTTAGTGACTGAAACAGCTCAATAAAATTAATGTGATCTAATATAATGTGCTTAATTTATCAAATTTATCAAATTAATGAGTCTTTTATCTCTTAGAAGGAGTTGTATCAATTATCTCTCCTCCTTGCTTAAATCTGAGAGAACATTGATGTGTTCTACCCCCTATTACTTCATCAAACTTTTACAACCACTGACTACAGACATCAGTGCCACTGGTTATTTTTCAATATTCCACAAAATTACCATCACTTTCTTGACACATCTAACCTCGGAGTGATGCTGACAAATGAAAAATAATTCATCCACTCCATAACTGGCCATTTCACTCAGTTTTACTTTTATTCACTAACAGTCTCAAATAACGGGACAACAGTATCCTGTAGTTCTACATACTATAACTACTTTTCTGTACAGTCCTGTATCCACAAGTTATTAAGAATAATTTCTAGGCCAGATGGTGAAATGATAGTGATATTTTTATTTAAGAGGAACAAAGGCAAAATCTGATATTGATTAGCAGAGAAGGAGACCGAGAACCTGATACACTGAGAATAGATTTCCATGAACATTCTTTTTTCCAGCGGCAGAGATGATTTAGAAGATTCCTACCCAATCTGTTGTTAATCACTTGCTCCAGTCTTTATATTACACGTCATGACCTAGCTCAGGAATCAGTTAAGACTGAACAACTTCTTCTGGAGCTACTTGGGTCAACAGAGTCAGTCAAACCTTGGCTTTTCAAACTGACTTGGGACTCCGTGTGTGTGTATGTGTGTGTGTTATTTTTTAGTTCTGCTACTGGAAATTCTCTTGGTAGGAGACAGTGTTCCTCTCAAGTACTTTATTGAGGTGAATATTCTTTCAGGGATATAAATTTTAGGTCACCCAAAGGAGGGTAAGAATAGCATTGGTTTTTGTAGCCACTGGTTCTTGGGTGCCTAGTATTTTTCTTGATCCTGAAATCACTCTAATCTTCCAGTCACTGCATGCATTCAAATACGCAGAACAAGGACTAAATTTGCACTGAAATCTGTTTTTACTGATATAATATGAGCGCTTGACCGAGAGTAGAAATTTAACAAAACTATGCCAAGAATCTTAGGTAGTGGCCATTCAAAATTTTAAAGCTCGATTATTTGTATAAGTGGATTATGTATACCAATTTATGCACAATCTATAAAGAAAAATGCTACGCTTCAATTTATCTTCAGAAAGTACAAAGAGCACTAAAATGAACGCATTTCTTGATATATTATGTTCTTCTCCTTACAGACATGGCCAAGATCTTTAAATCAGGTACTGTAACACTATTAGACATTATCTAACAGAGCAATACATCTAGCATGCTGAATCTTAAGAATATTAGGGAAAACTTCAATATCCACTTTCCCATCTGCACTTCAGACTTCTGGCAAGCAGATGAGATCTACAGCAAAGTCTTTGTTTCAAATCTAAAGCCAACTATTTTCTTCCCGATGAGTTAACCAGGGGTGAAGGGGGTGGGGGTGGGGAGGGGGTGGGAAGAGCATCACTTCTCAGTTTGCTTCTCTGTAAGTCCTTCCATATGCTATGTGGACCTTAACGTTGACTTGTAATCTTCAACACTTAATTTTAAGCTTAAAATGTCTTCCAGATGAAAATAACACAAGATTCAAAAAAAAAAACAAACCTATGGATGAGCTATGAATGAAACATCAGGCTAAGTTTAATGCCTGCAGGGTCATACTTCCAAAAAAAACAGAATTGTTTTGGAAATATTTTATATTTTAGTTGGAGATGATTTCTCCAGGATGTTTACTACAATTTACATACTCAGCCTCTATCAAACAGGACCTCAAAGTCATTCATAGAGATTGGTATTAAAACTCATTAAATCCAAACTTTCACATCACATTTTTCCTCTAAATCTTCAGTTTTACTAAACTTTCTCCACATTCTATGGCCTCCTTGTTTACGGCAACTTTAAGTCGGATTTTGTTTTTCAGCCCTATGATTCTAAGTTCATCACAGACTTTGACAGCTGATGATACTTGCCTTATTACACCCTGGGCTAAGACTCTCACTTCTTGCTAGTGAAGACAACTCATAAATTTGTGCATCCCATTCTACATGTCAATCAAAGAACAATCATGAAAACTAGGGTCTGGGGATAGGCAGGAGAAGAACATAGAGTTCAAACAGTTTGGGACAATTTGCAGGCACACTGCAGATTTAGAAGGCAGCTGTCAAAGTTCAGGAGGACAACTGCAAAGGTTTCTTGAGCTTTTTTGTCAGAGGGTAGTCAAAAAGGTCAGAAATCTTGCAGTGAAGATATTTCTGCTATCGTGGAGCATCATCAGAAACAACACAGAACAGGCACCCTCTGAGATAGCATTAAATCCCTACCTAAAACCACACTACAGGGACATTCAGGGCTTAACTAGAGCTCTGGCTGAGAGTCATCTTAAAAGAAAGCACACACTGCCAGCAAGCAGGAGCAAGCAGTAATTTCTAAACAGAGCTTCTGTATAACAATCTCCTTTATAGCTTCTGCCACGCTTCCAAGCTACCTGTTAAGGTCTTTCAAGCCAATGGACTGACACCAGCAAACACGATTGTCCTTCTACATATTTATCTCCATCCTAGCCTATACCTGTTTGAAAAAAGAAACATTCTTTTGAACTACACAAGGGAAACAGTCATTCCTTACAGAGCTCGGCACTTTCCTGGGTGCAGGAATGAGGTTCTGCAGGACCCTGTCAGCATATGTTTGTTCCCTGAGCGAATTACTCACTGATTACTTTTCTTGTTCCAAAGGCCCCATTTAAGGGTGAAGGAGAGACTTCCCAACCAACAAAAGCTTGTGTTTATCACCAGTCTTCCCTTGTATTACCCAAAATGTTTCTTTCAAAGCAACCCTCGAATCAGCCTGCACTAGCACTGTTACCAATCTTTACTGGTTAAGTAGTAAAGAATAAAGTATTGCTAAAAAAAAAAAAAGGAATTTCCTTGTTCAGTGACACATGGGGCTAGATCAACCACAGTAACATACTATTCAAGATAACATCTTGTTTTGAATGGGGAAGAAAAACCCCAAAAAACAGAGAAATATATCAATATAATTAGGCAGAGCAAGAGGCGGGGGAAAAAAGCTAAGAATGTAATCTTAGGGGGAACAACAAAAAAAAAAAAGGTGGTGCCAGACATTACTGGCTATTTATTTTCCCAAGCCAAAATAAACAATGAGGCTTTGTCCTACCTGCTGCCATTAAGACTCTCTGTCACCTCCAAAAGTGATGATCTTCAAGGAGGCTCAGGATACAGGATTAATTTACCACTTGACCAACAGCCAATGCTTTGTAACCTGAGTCTCTTTAACCCACAACAAGGAAGCATGCTCTTAGTAAGCATGAGGTAAAATCTGGCAGCTAAGAAAATAATTTCAGCTAAAAGAAACTTTTTATGGTATTTTTTTTCTCATGTGTGCCATGGGCGTAGAGCATATACATGATCTGCTACCATAATTCAACTGTGTTTTTTTGTAACCTGTCGGTTTGAGCACTCGCACCAATTTAAAGAGCAAAAATAATGGTGTTTTCATTTCATGAAGCTGCTAATGAGACCACTATTCCATTAATGTATGTGTTCTTCTACTTGCCTCTAGATTTATCTGACACCCAAACAATACAATGAAACAAATTAAAACTTACCTGTACAACTCCTGTACACGAATCCAAGAAAATACATCCCTTTGGCTCCTTTGATATTTTTTCATCTTTATAAAAATTCATAATATATGAGTTATCCGACAACTGTGTCAGCTGGAAGTAGCGCTTTTTGAATGACTGAAGTGGGAGAAGAAAGAAAGAATGACAATTGTTGTACTGTAAATTATTTTCACTGATCCTTTATTCACAGGGTTTAAATAGATTGAACTGCACTTCAATCACACTGTTTTGCAGACAACTGCAGTATTACTTCACTATCATTTAATCAAACCTGAGATATAAACAGTTAAATGATAATGGTAAACAAGTGTGCCTCTAGGGGGGGATATAAATTCAAATGGAATAAAGAAAGAATAATGCTGTCCGCTTACCCGAACAGTAATGCTATTGTTTACAGTGCTGTTGAAATTCCCTTTATAAAGCCATCCAGACTTGTAAACTCCTGCTGCTACTCCTCCTCCTCCTCCTCCACCACCACCACCTTTTGAAGATGAGTGGGATGTTGTATCCTGTATGAAAGACATGATTAATATTGCATGGACTTGCTTTTTGAATTCTAAGACGAAAGAAAACTGTAATGTGTGAATATCTGCTTGACAACAAATAATCACCCTTTCATTCCTTTTAAAATAAGATGTTATTAATATGCCTGCTGTGCACATGATGACATGAGGCAAAGCTGTTCTACTAACTTCAGAGTTATTTAAAAGAGGAAATATTTTATAGGAGATAAGGAGCCTACATTATAATTCTTTATTTGATATTAAAGCCATAAATAACTCTTCCCCAGGAAAAAAAAAAAACAACAACAAACAAACAAACACCAAAACCCAGAATACATACTTCATCTTTGTCCACATCTTCGTGATCAATTTCAAAGGAATGTGATGGCAGTTTCTCTGGTCTACATTCATTTCTGTGAAGGGAGGAAAAATGTCTTTTTTTTTCTTTTTTTTTTTTCTTTTTTTTAAATAATGATGTACCTGCTATTTCAGGGAGGCAACATCCCAAGCCCCCATGGCATCTTCAGTACACCTATTGCTGTGATCCTATTACCTCCTTTAAAAATACTTCCTTTAAAAAATTACAGCTTCCAATTACAGCTTTATTCTTAAGCCATGTATATATTTTTTTTTTCAACACTATGAAGCTACAACAGCTCTATACAATGAAATAGCAGTTGTTGCTCTCTTTGCTGCTCTTTCACCAAAAAAGATAACAAACCCCAAACAATTTCCAAAGAGATATCCCATTTAAGGCTGTCAAATGAATGAGAATGAAACCTTGAATAGCTTTTTCTAACCAAGAAGAACTTAGAATATTAAGCTTAAAGCTTCTACATTTCTTCAGTATTTCAAGATATTTTTTACTATTCAATATGAGTGCAGCCTTAAAGTAATTTTTAAAAATACACAGATGTCTTTTTGATATGGTGCCATTTAAGATATTCATATTGTAGACTGAAAACCAAAACTGAATATGAAAAAGCAAAGCACTCGAGCACTTGCTTAATTTTAAGCACGTAAGTAATTTTACTTAGGCCCAGAGTATTTTGCATGTTGCAGAATTAAACCTTAAGTAACAGCCAAATATACATGATAAAAATTCAAAGATATTTTTAAATGTAGAAAAAATAGATTTTTCAGTGGCCTGAGAAATACCAACATTGTTTTCCAATTCATGAAGACTACAAATCTCATCTTGGAAATCTCCAGCTATCATATGAAAACCTACAAAAGCTGTCATGCCAAAAGCCATCATTTGTCACAAAGACTGACTTTTCCAATATATACTTTCATCTACCCAGCCTGAGAATGGGAAGAGGGCAACACTACTCTCTGCTGTGCAAGGAAGCAAATTCAAACGGAAGTTGAGAAACCACAGACCCCTAAGCTAGTTTCCTCTCTCCACTTAGCAAACTTCAACCCACACTAGCCCATAATGTTAAATGTCATTAATTAAAAAAAAAAAAAAAAAAATCCAAACTTTGACCCTTTTCATTTTCTGTTCATTCATACACTACACACAGATGAGGAAGATCAGAGTAATGAGCAATACACATCTCCTCTTCACTTTCCCGTTTCAAAGTCAGTGTTCTCATGACACGACTATGCCACCACAACTGAAGTCAGAATTTCAGCAGAGCCAGAAGAACCAAGTGCACACAGAACACAGGAGTGTTTTATTTTCTGTTTTAGTCTGCTCGGGTTTTGTTGATCAATATTTTGAATAAAAGTGGCATTTACAATATATTGACATCTTTCACATCTGTAAAAGTGTTAACATTCAGAATATGTCATGGAAATGCACTGCAGGTTTTCCAAGGGCAGCTGTTAAAAATTCTTACACAAACACTCCCTCCCACCCAAAAGAACCCCAAAACCAAAATCTCAAGATAAATCCCACTTTTTACAAAAAACACCATTCAAGCCTTCACATTTTCAGACAAAAACCCTATTGGCTTATTCATTATTCAGAGCTAAAAGTGCACCACAGTGCTCTTGGGGTGATGTGTAGGCAGACTGACCGGTGCTCTCTGGCCACACACGGACAGATAACACCACTGCAATGTCTGCTTGAGGATCTGTACCAGTAACAGGACTAATTAGCCGGCTATTGAAAAAAACAAAACCAAAACAAACTGAACCCCAGCCCTAAAGCCCTTGATGTTACTGGGGAGGGGAAGGAGGAGTCAGCAATCTGCTGGATTAGTGGGGTGCTGACACCTCACCATACAACACAGCAACCCTGCCCCACCCTGCTGCTCCACGGTCAGAGAACGAGCCTGTCCCATCAAACCACAGCCCTTCCACAAGCCTGGGTACATGGTAAGTTCCTTAGAAAGAAGGAAATACTTCTGCCCTCTCAGCAGAGCTGTAAAAGAGATAGAAAAGGACAGACCACTACTGCTTCAGGTGTCTGACCACCCATGAAACACTCATCCACTCAGACCTGTGTGTCATTCTTCATAGCAAAAGTTTTTCCCTTCCTTGGATGGGAATCCTTTTGGGCATGCTCCCCATCATTCCTGGGCAGGCAGATGAAGCATGGTAAGGACATTATCCTATTTGGTATACCCTGTTTTTTGCTGCCTACTGCCTTTTCAGACCCATATGAAGATGCAGAATTCCAAGGAACCAGACCTGAAATATCTACCAAGTGTCCTACATTTTCTATAAGTGACAGCAAAAACTTTGCTAATGAGTATTTCTGTTCCCAGACACACTGTCACCACAGCACACACTAAGCAACCCCTGTTCTTCCTCCACCCTTCCACTTGCTCAAGCAGCAAGAGTACACCAGCACAAAGCATAAAAAATGGCCTAAAAAGAGGTAGTGAGAGCTCACAGAGAGGAATTTAAGGGGTGGAAAGACCTGAGGAAAACCTCAAAGGAGGAACACACTCAGAGAAAAAGTAAAGCAATTGCTAAACATTTTGGTCATGTTGTGCACACGCCGTGGAGCTCTTCCGTGGTGCCAGAGCACTTCTCCTGTGGAATTGCACCATGGACATGTTGGAGTCCTCACTGCCTGCCCCAGCAGCTTCTTCTCAATCAGAAAGGGTCAGCATTCAGAAACAATAACTTCAATATCTGATAAAAATCTACTACACCATGCAACCATTACTTGACTTGTTGTGTGACCATGAAACAGCGCAGCATGGCCTCGTGTATGAAGTTGTTCAGCATTACCGAAGGCTGCTGAGTTCAAGTTTGTGTGTTTCTAAATGGGACAGCCCACAGGAAGGTTCAGCACACCCTCTATCAAAGGAATTAGTTTAGCCACAGTTAGATCTGGTATTGTAAATTATGTTCCTATCTCATGATGCAAAGATAAGTGCTTCATGCTCATCCAGTCTTCCCTTGATACAACTATTTTCTATAAAGGAATTGACACAACAATATGCTCAGATTTCTGACAGTGCAAAAGCAGTTTTGCACAAATGAAAAAAAACAAACAACATCCATGGAAACTGGGCATCCAGAGCTATCAATGGTGAGATACAATACTATGACAAGGATGCATCAAGCAGCTTTATTTTTAATGAGGAGATACAGTCTAAAACACTGAACTTTGTAACATGCATGTGCAAATCAAGGTCCACTGACGTACAAGAATCTGGAAATGGTATGAAATTAATTGGACTCCAAACCAGCTCCATTTAAGGTATGCTAAGCTCAAAAGCCATGGTAATTTTCAGCAAACAAAATACAGACACTCCTGCTATAACTTTGCTCCTAAACATCGACCAGTGCTGCATCCAAACCATTTCTGAGTGCTATGTTCTGATAATAAACAAAACAAGATCTCTTGTTCTGTTATAATCCTCTATGCAAGGGGGGAAAAAAGTAAGATGTGAAACATGATTACATCCCTAGAGCATGAACTCATGAAAGCAAATCACATTAAGCATCATATTAAAATAACCTTCACAGAAGAGGATGTATGTAATCAGCTAAAACGTACTCTTGTGCAGAGTAATGCAACCACGTCTGTCAAATGCATATTTCATAAGAATGAAGATGCTTAAGGTTAAATGGAAAACTGCTGTGCTGCAAACATTTTTCTTGAGCACTAAATGCATTAATTTTCTAAAACAATCAGTACACTGTGTACTTAAGAAAAGATACGTTTATAATCTCTGATTAGCAAAACTGCTCTTAATGGCTTTTTGTACTACCATATTAACTGTTCATAAAAATACCAACATACAAGAGAGAAAGCAGATCTGAGGGAAGGCCTTCAGCACAACCCCCTTTGAACAGCATCTAAAAGGACCACAAGAATCTGTCTATCCATTCCTGCAGTAGCACGTGTAGTTAGTACTAGCTTCCATCCCACCCAAGCTTGGAGCACCCATTCCTGTGTTACATGCTCGTAACAACCCTTTTTCATCCAGTATCATGATTTTAATGCCTCAAATTCCAGGAAAGGAGGTGATAACACAGCTCGTTTGGGCATTCAGGGATTTCATTAACTACTCCCTAAACCAGTCCTTGGGGCACAGGATACAAACCTGCCAGAAACAGGAGTAAGGTTAGAAACTCACACATGAAGGAACCAGCACCAAATTCTTAATTTTTTTCCACTCAAGTCAAGGAACTTGTTCCTTCTCCTCCCAGCACCTTTACCCTGATTTTAATATACTGCCTCCAAGCACAGAAGGGATGCCCACTTACCCAGACACCTGCACCCTTCTGCAACCTTCTATCACCGGTGCTGCACACATTGCATCCAGTTCTTCTGCACAGTGCAGCTATAAAGCATTAAGTGAAATCCTACTCCTCTGTTACACAGGGTAACTAAAAGGAGAATTAACCCCAGTTAAAGGTGACTGACATTTATGCATTATCAAGGAAAACAGAAAGCCAGCCTTCCTGTATCAACTGTGCTTTGATTACGCAAATACACATAGAGTTTGTTGATACTAGCAAATTCTGCAGAGTCTTGAACTTTTGCTAAAAGACCTTTTCCTTCCCTTTTTAAAAATGAAAGGCACTATAAACACGGTAAAACAAGCAGAGCATATAAGACAAAGGAAAGTGCAAATATGGACAAAACTCAGGAAAATGACACAAACCTAATATGAAAAAATAATAAAGAAGAACAACTTATGCTAGATCTTACTGTGGCAAGTGTCGAAAGTCTTCTGAATACTGTTCATATTTGTAGTTCACAACATGCCACTGGGAACTGTAGTATTTACAAGCCTAAAGAGAAAAAAAACACAAACAACAACAATAGAATGACTACAACTCTTCAGACTCAAGAAGGCTAGACAGCTAAGAAAGATTTGAGGGATTCCTTTGTGCTAGAAAACATACCCTTCTCTTTTATAGCTGGGTGCACAGTTCTTAAAGGAAAGTAAAAGTCTTAAGTTTCCACATTTTGAAGCACCATTTCCCTTTCAAATCAAATGCACTGAATCATAAAAGATGCAGGAGGGGGCTGATAGCAATTTAACATGCTTTACTGATTCTCATCTACTCTGTAGGAAGCATCATTAAATCATATTGCTACTGCCAAAAAAGACACTACCTAGTTTAGGCTTGATTTTCTCTATTTCTTTGCAACCTGTTTCATTACCTAAGCCTTCCGTTGTAAATACATTTGCCCTGCTCCTTTTATTCCTCCTTGTTGCAGCACAAGCCCTCTACTTCTTCTGATGCCCTTAAGGATTGATCTTTAACCTCTTAACACCATCCAGGAATATCTTAATAGGACTATCATTTCTCACCAGTGTCTCATTTTCCCTTCCACATGGCATTTGCTCCATCATCTCCTTGTAGTTTTTATTTTCCAAAAACTTGCTGGTTTCGCATTCATCTTTTGAAATTGTTCTTAATATATCAATCGCCCTTAAATAAGAGAACCAGACTTGAACAAAGGCTATACCGAAAAGCTTTGCTGTGCTGTCAAATAGACTAGAGTAACTGTGTGATTTACTTGATGCAGAACTTTTATCAATGCAATTAAACACAACATGACATTTTTAAAGTCAACAAGATGCATGGAATACATACAGTTGTTGATAAGGTACACGTCTACAACAAGAAAATGACACGTCAGAATTTCCAGTGATTCTTGCTACAGAGTGTAAAATGCAAACTGATACTTGTACAGTGGGCTGAAGACTTTACCCCAGTATTATTTTCTTCCCACACTGCACCTGAACGTTTGCAGCAGCCCCTGTGAGATGGACAGGAAGAGAGTGATCATGCCTAAAACCTAATAGTAGAGCTGCTGCCCAAGACCATAGGGAAAAGGAGGCACATGAGGAAAGAAAATGATGGGGATCTACAGCAGAGAAAAAAGCAGCAGCATTGAAAGGAAGGATAGACCAAAGATATTTAAATTCCAAAAGCTATGCAGAGAAAGAGGAAGAAAAGGCAACAAAAGGACAGGGTAAGTTAGTACTCCTCCGACCAGGAGTATTCCCTCTCTTCCCTGCCACGCTCTTCTGAAGCTCCCATGGGAGTCATTGCTTGCACAGCAGTCTCCGCCTCAGAGGGACAGAGAGGGGGTGGATTATCAGGCTGCTAGAGCAAAACCAGAGATAGGCTGAAAACTTAAAGGTGGTGCCTTCTAAATTACTCAGCACTAGCTTAATAAATCTCCTTTTAAAATCTTGTGTAAAAAAATGCAGAGTATGTAGCCACAAATTAATTTAGGAAGTCATCTGGGTGTGGTCCCAGTCTTCTGTGGCAGCTTTGTTTGTTGTGGAGTATGGAAAAGGCAGCAAGGAAGTGGATGCACATTCATAGGCAGTTCTCTCCCACCTTAACACTGAACTGAGCAGTTCAGCACAACCAAAGGCAACCTGCAGTAAACACACTCCATCTAGATCTAGCATCTACTTTCTGATCTGACATAAACCCTCATTATCTTACAGGATGCAGAATAAAATGTGACCATTAGACAATATAAAATAATCACATATTCTTTGAGAATGAACATAATACTTTAGCATTATAACTGACTAACTCTGCACCTTGCAGGGTCAGGTCTGAAGCCTACCCTGACAAACATGTTCCTACACCACTCCAACGTTGTTCGCACTTTGCCTTGAATAGAGAAAAAAACCCAATCAAACAACCAAAAAACAAGCTTTCTGCTTTACAACTCTTCATAAAACAACTTCTGTCTTGTATTTGTGTGATCTAATTTTAACTAAAACTATTTGATAGTCACCTGTGCTATAAGAATACTCTAACACACATACTCTGTTCTATGTAAGCCAATGAACATCTCATTCATTGAACGTTGTGAGGATGAGCACAGACCCTCCAACTCACACTTCACTCATTTTCTACTTGGCAAACGTAAACCAACTGAACCTTCTACAGAAAGGACCACTTTTTCCCTGTGGTACTTTCATTATTAAGTAATCTTTGCAGATGTGATTAAAGCCCACAGAGAATTCTCAACACAGGCTTTTATTGCAAACATTATAGGCTGATGTGTTCAAAAAACCAATTGTGAATAACATATAGATCAGTCCACAGTATTTTAGCTTGCAACTATAAAGGTTTATTGTACTCCAAGAGAAAGCTAATGAAAATAAAAATCAAAGAGGATAAGCAGCACATTCAAGTATCATTCAGTAACCTCACAAAAGGCAAGCCAATTCAGTGCAACAGCTAATGATGTTCTTGAACTAGCTTGTTACAGCTATCTATTGCAAACTACATCTGGCTTAAAAAAAAAAAAAGTTACAGCATTTTCTCTTCAGAATATCCCAACTAAAAATCAAATACTTCTTCTAAATTTTAATAATTTTATTTTTTAAAAAATTAGGAAATTATTATTGGAAATTGAATTTTAGCAATGAGGAAAAATACCTCCAAACCTTATTTGAGGAGCAAGAAAAACCTTTCTAGAGGAAGAGATTTCATAAAGAGGCCAGAGCTGGATCCTACTGTTCCTGGCAAAGAGTGGAGGCACCAGTGTAGGGACTGGTGAGCTCAAGTGGACTGTCAGGGAGGAAAAACATACATGGAGAAATGGAAGCTTTGGGACATGGGAGGGTTGGCACACGTTTGCATGAATTTTCCTACTGCATTGTTGACCAGGCAGGCCCATTCCCAGGGGCTCTATTAAATTCAGGTCATTTCTTTTCTTATTGTTTCTTCTTGTTGCCCAGCTGGTCTAACTCTTCCTTAGAGAGACAGACAATCCTGCAACCTTTTTCCACCTGTAACTTCTTAGCTCTGGTTTTGGCAATGACAGCATGATGGCTACCACAGTGAAAGAGGCACTTTAAAAAGATTTACCCTGCAATGCAAATCAATCTTTTGGAGAAGGAAAAAAAAAAAAAGAGAGAATGGGAAGCAAGAGGAACACGATGCAAACACCTTGAAACATTTGAAAGCAACTGTCTTGCTTATATTGCAACATTAGGTATGTGATCTTCAGAAACACAGATGCACAGATAATAACAGTAATTCAAGGAACACATGGGCTTCTTGCACAGAAACTGCATGCCCAGAGTAATCCTGCCACATCAGTCACCCTTGAAGAGCAGCTGTTTCTGATGTGGAAAGCAGGACATGTTGAACAGGGAAGGGGAAATTCAAGCAAGAGCTTGGGAACAGAAAGCAAAGACCTTCCAGAGCTGGATGTGGCCACACTGCTAAAGGGGAAGCTGCAGAGATGGGTCCATGCTCTGCCCTGGGACCAGAGACATGCATGGCACTGCTCATAAAGCCTTCCCAACTGCTTCTTCCTCCTGTGACCTCTGCTGCAAAGGCAGTGTGCATGGATTTGGGAAGGTGGTGTGTGATCACCTGTTTAGAAATTCAGCTCTCCACCCCAGGCTCACCCCTGCTCCCTTAAGCCTGTGACAAGCACATCACGACTACCTGCTAGCAACCTGGACCTTCATTTTGGGGCTCGCAATGCTGTTTCCAAATTAACACATCTCACGCACATAGTAAAGTCCAGTGACACAGCAGCGTAACAAACCAAAACTTTAAAACACACTATTACTTTAAAGTATTAAATGTTTTAAAAAAGTATTTACCTCTTGTACTATCAAAAGATCCACTGTCCTTCAATAACATATGTCATTGTCCTGACACTACAGTTCTTCAAAGTATTGAAAACACTTATAGATTTTGAAGTTGGGGAAATCTACACTGTGATGAGCAATAATAAAACTTTCTTTGTGACATTTATCAACAGGAGTTTCCATTTTAATTTGACTTCGAAATATGTAAGAGCAATGCAGATTAGCCTGTAAATAAAAAGCCTGAGAAATCAAATGTATGGACACACAACCACTTTCAGTAGTTATACAGAAAGCTGTGGCTCTTATAATGTTATGATTAATAAAACTCACATTTAATAATTACTTACAAAACCTGTAGACACAACTTGCAAAATCTCAAATAAAAAAATTCCTCAGATGAATGGTGAGGGCTCTAACAACCTACCACAAGTGACAACTCAAACTTTTGTATCTAGAAAATCTACACAGGAAATCTAAGAGGCATCCACATGAATACCTTATTATAGCAGACAAAATGAACTACATCATCCATCAAAAAATATTTCAATATTCTTACACTCTAATTTCATTTTGATATAGTGCTTTTCAGCCAGCATGGTCTGTACTGCTCTAAGGGTGAAGTGTGAGGACTACAATCACACCCACAGATGAAAAGGAGCCAACACTGAGGTGCAGGAAAGCTCAGTCTCAAGAGCTCTCCCCAGTAAGCTCGTTTCTTCATTGTCTTCATCTTTAAGAGTCATTTCCAAAGTTAAAACACCACAATTTGACACCAAATATAGAGTCACTAAACAGGTTTACACAGTGCTGCACGTGCAGAGTGCTGTTCGTATACTCCATTCTGCGTTTACCTCAGACTCCCTTACTTAATGCACTGGCAGATTCCAGATGTCGCACGTAGGACACAATCAGGTCATACATACCATTTATAACTGGCCTCTGTTCCCAGGCTTTTTCCAACAGGTTGCCAAGATGACAACTGCCTAGATGTCCGTGATTTGAAAGAAGCAACTGGTCTCTACAATGACTTTTAAAGCTACAAGTGAGCTCAAACACAGCTCAATAGTGCCTGCAGACTTCTGAAGCAGACAGGCTTGACTTGAACCTATGCAAGTTGGCCTTTGGTAACAGTAACAAGCCCGAAATCAGGCCATCTGCACGACAGTAGGCAATCTACCTCAGTGAGCAGTAAGAAGAGCACAGCAGAACAATGGTAGCAATAGGATTTTAGGAACGCAATGTGAACTCCACCACCTTTTGCTACCGTATAGATGAGACCACCAGATGATGGTGTGAGCTGATCCAAGGCCCAGCAAGTCACCAAAGGAGCCCTTCCTGTAGCAGCCACCACCACTGGGTCAGACTCCTGAACCAAAAAGGACGGCTCAGCAGGTACCTGGTCTACCTGTGAGGGAGGGATGAGACAGCTTCTCAAAGGCCTGTCTGGGATTATTTTCCACAATTACACTGCATAACCTAGGAAAGCTTCTGCAGCAAGCTGCTCCATCCTCCTGCCCCTGCACAGCTCCCAGCACACCCCTCCTCACCCATGGGGCCAGCCCCTCTGCAAACATGCTCCCCAAGAACATATCCAAGTAGCACCTGTTGTTTTTGGAGGGATCACCTGGCTTAGACTCATTTAAGAAAGGACAATTGACAGCTAATATTTATGTGCTTTCTGTTTTTTTTTTTTCATCTATACCTGAAATTTCATTCATATAGATACACACACACAAATAGTATGCATGTGTGTGTATATGTATGCACACTTTCTGAAGATACTTACTTGTTGCAAACCAATATGGGATTAAATACGTTGCAATTAGATAGCTTAAATTCCTCAAACTAAACATAAGTTTGAATTGCAAAATGCACTGTCCCCTTATATTTCTGAATGAAACGTGGGAAAAATTACAAGGATTGCTATTTGATCTGCATATTCAGGAAAACAGAGTTGAGAAATGTGATATTAGGAATGTTTTCACTGTCTAAAAAGAATAATTTTATTTTGTTTCTTGTGGAGCGACTGTTTCTCTATTTGCCAAAATCAGGGACCATGAGGACAATGCCTACTAGCATAAATACATGCAGCAGATTCTGTGGGGAGTGAGAAAATTCAGAATTTGGGAGAAGAAACAGAGTGGTACAGTACAGAATTCAAGGAAGTCAGGAACCCTGAGAAAAAATAAACACTGAAGACAATTTTATTCTGGCTTTAAAAGTTTCTGGAAATGTCTCTTTTCTTGGAATCTAATCTAGTTACTCAAGCTCCTCCTGCCTAAGAAAAGTTAAGGTGGAAAAATCCACAAGGAAAATATCCTAAGACAACTACAGGTACAGAAATGATTGATCCACAAAGTATTACCTTTACAAAATACATAATAATCAGGCATAAATTAATGAAGGGACTCAGATATTAATCAATCATAAAATGTAAAATATTTATTCTCTTTGCACCCTACAGAAAATATTAAAGGACTTTATTTATTCCAGTCACCTTAGTTTTATTTTTTTAAATTTTCATTTTACATTTTCAGCAAAAAGGAGAAGGTTAGACTTCTTACTTAAAGTAAATTCTTCTGCCTCACCCATTACCATAACATTAAACATCACCAAGAGTGAAAGTTTTTGGTTACTGATGAATCTAAAAGCAGTATTAAGAGAAATGAATTAGACAACTAGAGGCACAAACCTTCCACTACAGGTGGGCAGCATCAAATGCTTTCCACACAAAAAGCTTTCCTCAGCAATCTCAGCCCCATCTTTCTTCATCTGGCTTGTCAGCTCTTTTGCATCCATAAACTGATATTGCACAGGCAATCAAGTTATCCTGGTGTGCCTGTAAGTACTGTTTACGATCACTTGAGCAAAGAGTATCTGATCAAATGCTCAAGCTGTCAAATGTATGGATTTTGGTAAAGGAGGGGAAAAAAAAAACAGTCCTCAAGACTAGCAGTGAAAGAGCTACAGGTAGAAGTAAAGACTTCCTACTGTCACCAGTAGGAAAGAAATGCCCAGGAAGAGACAGACAGGGTTTTAAGGCATTATCACAGACTTCTGACAACCCTTTTAAATGACCTTACAGACAAGACCATCTGACCACAACCAAATGTCCAGAAGGATGAGACAGGAGATCATTGATCTGAACTCTTGAAATAGTTTCAGTACCATGTCCTCACACTGCACCGTATGAAGAAAATTAGTTTCACCTTCAACGGCAGACCCTTCATTTGTAGTTAACTGACTTGCTCCATGTCTTTGTGTCATAACTTGCTAAATTACAGAGACAGTGTAATATACACTGATGGACAGAGATAGCCGTTACCGCTTATGAGGAACATCAAAATGGCTTCAGCGAGATAAAGCTGTACATTGCCTTTGTATAGCTTCCCCTGCAGTCCGATGAGGAACTAGACATTTGATCTTGGGTTGTAACAAGTTCAGTTGACCAACACATAGTCAAGTAAGTACAAGATGGATGCCTTCACTGTTCATGGTATCATAGCATATTTGAAAAAGAGAAAACTCCTTCACTGAAGTGCTGGCTTTTTCAGAGCGCCAAAAAAAGAAGTGAAGGTCACAAACTCCACTCCTCCACATCTATCCAGAAGCACTGAACAGCCTGGAATACAACAGACCGCTGCTGGGTCAGTACAGTTTTGTCCAATTGCTGCAGTAGACCACAATCACAGATCTTCACAGCGCCCCATGCTCAGTTTTACTTCATTTTGGACTAGAAATCATCCTCTTCCTGGAGCTTAATTTATTTTATATATAGTTTTTGGCTTTGTGGCAAAGTTGAGTATATGCATTACTACTTTAAAAGAGGGTCTTATCCTGCTACTATTCCATCCACAGGCTTGGTTCTGTAGCACTGTTTTTTTCCACTGCTTTGCTCCTCTCTCCCCCTCCCCTTGGCTCACTGGTATTGCAGAGAAAGCTAATAGATGTGCTCAATATGTATTTTACCAGGTTGTCATTAGCATCCCCTTGGAGTACTCAGCTGTAATGATTCCCAGACACTGTGTACTATGTTCCATTTTTAGACCCACCACTTTCTCTGTAAAGCCATGAGCACAGTGCTGGCCTTGCAACTTGTGGAACCTTAAAATAAAAAGCAGACCCCAAAGTGCTGAAAGGGGAGCAAGGCTTCTGGGAAGGTAGATAATTCCACAAACTATGCTATTTTTTAACCCTATTGTCAAGATTAAGAAAGACTGCAAAGTTCAGGCAATTTGAGCTGGCAGTAAGTTGTTATTGCTCTGTCTAGACCTGCTGGAGAGAAATAGGGCCACCCTGTAAAATGTCATGCTGCATACAATTCAACAGCTACATTTCCATCTAACCTTGGATTGTCTTTTTTCTAATCCCTGTGTTTATCTGTAACTGGACTTTTCCTCCACAAGTTATCTTGCAGTAATACTGCACATGAAATAGCCCATACTCATTCAAACCAGGAAGCCAGGTGTGAAAAATCCCGATCTGTGAAAAAAAGACGCAGAGAACACACACATTATGTGCTAATTACAAGCACTTGATATTAAATCCCTTATAGAAGCTGGCTGAAAATTGGTTTCATAAATCTGTTTTGTTAATGCATATGACGAGCTATACTTCACATCTCTAGCAAAAGATGGGGAAGGTTCAGGGAGCCATCTAAAGTAAATTCCTTTGAACAGTGCCACCAGCACCTCCAATGTCCTTCAAAGTGATAAAACCAGTGACAACCTGAAATACCCCTGAGGTAGCAGGAACAGCAATCTTCTCCTATAATCTGAGATCAGGTATGGAAACAAAACAACTACAGTTTTTTTTCCAAAGGTAGAGCAATTAATCACTCCTGGTGGGGCTCTAACTACCATGGAAGAACTTTGCTCAACTTTCTACTATGAAGGTAGAACAGACTCTAAATATGGACAATAAATATAAACCCCTACACATCCTTCACAGTGCAACTACTCAGATAGCTATACACCTCCCAATAAGATGCATACCTTGTAATAACTCTAACAGTCTAAATCAGTGTCAAACAGTTATCTTTTTTTTGGAAATATATTGATATTTTCAAAGTGCAAAGCACATTCAGATCATCAATGGTTAGCACTCACATAAAAATACCATCAATATCAGTGGGCTAGAAGTGACAGGGAATACAGCTGGAAAACAGTAGAATGAGAATCCGATTCAGTGCATTTGTAATTTTTCTAGATAGAAACATCTCACAACGTGCACCTGCAGATATGCTGTTAACCTTCCCCCTCCTTCTGGCCTCCAAAATTCAAACCTGATTCAAATCACCTAAACAATATTAAAAGAAAAAAGATGTTCATTATAATCATAGCAAGCCTGCTCAAACCCTTGTTTTTATTTAAAATTAAAGGATACACACGCTAGATATTTACCTCTTTAACAAATAAATTTTCTGCTTTTTGTTCTGCATCTTCAGGCACAGAAGGATACAGCGTCCTGATTTCCAGTGAAATTGTGTCTGTCTGATAATACACAAAAAAAAAGCAAATTAGTTAGAGTGACAGAACAGCAGCTTTTTTCTCATGAAGAGGTTAAGAGCCTTATTATTATGGTTTGCATTTTTCAGTTTGTCGTGCAGCCAATACACATGCATACCAACAACTACAACCCAGCTCCTGCCCACACGCTCTATGCAATACTATCAGCTAAAGCATTAATTACTAGTGAGAGCAGTGTTCGAATAGATTTCTGGGAACAAAGCTGTTCCAAGCAAACTTGCTTCAGTCTCTGAGGTTTCTGATTAAAAAAGTCATCAAGTCTTCCTTACATCCTCTCCCAGAAATATATGCCAAATCCAACAGTGTTACTTGCTTCCTCCACTTCCCTTCTGCACCTCATGCCTTTTCCACAAGGAATGTGGAAACAGAACTAAAAGCTTTGACTCTTTGGAAGGAGAAGAGAGGAGCAGAGAGTCCTCCCAATAAGTTGCAAAAGGACTGCCCCAGGACAACTCAATAGCTGGAAAGCAAGCAGAACCAAGCAACAGCTTCTCAGTAAGGCATTTCCAACCTCGGCTTAGACAGCAGAGCAGGACTGACGTGAGACTCCTGACGCTTCTTGCAACCTCCTTTCAGACTCCAAAGACATTGCAGAAATTAAGCCATTTTTCTGAAAGCAGCTCATGACTGAGCTGGCTTGTCAGGGCCCACAGCAGGAAACCACACACAAAAGCGGATCTCCAGAAGGTCTCCACAAGGAGCTGAGCTTCTCTTAGTTCCCACCAGGCCAACGAGAGGCCAGGGCCACCAGCAGCACTCCTCTGTGTGATCCAGGGCCTCCATGTCTGAGGTGAGGCAAGGCAGCCACTTTGAAAAGTCACAGGAGAGAAAGCTTTGGGGTATTTTGAATTGATCCACAGATCTGGCCCACCCATTTTCTCTGCTGTAAGAGGGGAAAACGAACAAAACTAAACCCCAGCAGACCAGATTATGCTCTCAGTTACAATGGCGTAACTCCACCATACAAGACAATGAAGGACCGAAACCAAGACGAATCTGATCTCCCAAGATCATTTTCTCTTCTATTACAGAAAGGCACATGATTTCCAGAGGAAGGCCTATGGCATAGGACTGGTTTAGTATGAAGAACCACTACCTACTAATACCAGTACCTACTGTGCCCCTGGAGGCTCTCCTCCCAATCCCCAGCCTCAGACTAAAAAGTGATGGTTTTTCTCTACAAATAGAAGCACCTAGACTCTATGCAACAATTGCCTGGATCTTATTGACTACATTTTCCCCTACAGCTTATATAGACCACACTGATTATTCCCCATCGCTTTCCATATCAGTAATTATGAAAGAAAGGCATGTATCACTCAGGCAGAGGCACATGTCACGGGATTCCCCAAACTTTTTCTGTTTCATCTGGATAGCTCAGGATACAACATGATTGAAACACTTTGGCTCCCAAAAATAACAACGGCACCTCATAGACACCACAAAGTGAAAATCCCCTGTTGTTCTAAGTTTCCTAAATGTGGGTTCCTTGGTTCTACTCAGCTGTATTATCAAAGCCTGCATGCAGTGGAGATGTATATAGTCATTTTGTCTATGACTAAAACAGACAGCAGATGGAGAAGTATAAATTTTCAGGCCACATTTAGTAATAGTGAAGACGCTTGAATCCTTGGTTGCTTAGGGACTTCCCAGCAGTACCCATAGTCTCTGGAACACACTTCTTTACTTTTACTTCACACAGATGTGACATTTTAAGTCCCCTTTTTTAAGCAATCTATCCGGCCACCAGCAGCAGCAGCCACAAAGCACCCGCACTGTCCTTCCATGATATCACCCCTGCTAAAGATCAGCTGCTGTTTCCAGACTAAGGCAGAGTGGGAGCCACAAGAGAGGTGACAGGCGATGCACTCTGTACCTTGCACTGACTCTGTCGGGATGGCAACTAAGCTGCAGAGAGACCAACAACCTCTTCTGCTTGCCCATAACAAAACGTGTCTGCCCCATGTATTACACAGAAGGTAGCTTCCAGTATTTTTTTTTTTGTTAAGACATATAGTAAATAAAATTTTTTACCTAATACAATGCTTCTTGTCAACTTGAATCAGTGGACCGACCAAGATAGCTAATGTTTGACTTAATGGGGTCATTGTGCCTCCCTTCCCTTACCCAGCTTGTTAAAAAGACTGTAGCTGAACAAGACCTGTAACTCAAGCCCACTGTTTCGGCTGTGGTATGCTCCCCCACTTTCCTTCTCAACAAGAATGCACTTCAAAGAAAAAACCAACACAGTCATGCAAACAGAGAAATCAGGTAACATTGCACTTGTCATGTTTGCAGACTCTGCCAAAGAATATCACAGGTTTATTTACATAGAATTGGGACATGGAAAATCTTGTGTATTCTTATATTTAAACTTGTTTTAAAAAATACAAAGCACTTCCCTTCTGAGAATTAGTTATGTTCAACCACTTAGCTGCAAAAGCCTTGCCACAAAAACACTTCCTGTTCATAGCTGATTACTTCCAAAGTTAAATGCTCTTAAAGGCTGATCAAGCATAGCATGTATTCACAAAAACCTTTCTACATTGGAAAACAACTAATTTCAGCAACAAACTAAGTGCTTCTGAAAGGGTCATCAAAAAAATAAAGGATTTTATTTACAGAATTCAGCATTTATAAATGTGCTTTGAATGCAACCTAATTTTCTAATGTTTAGGCAATCATACCAATTGTCTGTTCAAATCAGAGGGCAACTATCTTCTCATTTGTGCATGTAAACTGTGATAATCAATTAACTCAGGTATCAGCCTAAAACATTAAATTCCATAATTATTCTGATTTTTTAAATCTATTTTATATAAATATCGTATATCCAACAATGATTTCTGACATTCAGCCAGGATGCCTCATTTGCATAAACTGTTGGCCCCGGGTGTTTGATTAGTTATAAGGTGCAATTTAATTAAGTGCCCTCTCTTGCTACATCCACTTTTTACAGCAAAAGCCACAAGTTAATATTGCTCCTTATCAACGACTGATTAGGAATAATGTTTTCAGACAGTGTCTATTTCCACTGACAGGGTGAGTTTAGTATTTGAAACATAGTTCAAACTCCATTAGCTATTTCAAACATTTTCCCTCTGAATCTATTCTAATAGCTTTTAGTCTGAAAAAATGTTATCAGTAGTTAAATCTTTAGATGGATGCATCAAAAATTATTGTATTTACTTACTGAAAAGGCAGCCCTTCTAAGACAGCTAACCGCACACAGGCAGAAACATTCCTCTATGTTAATGCTTAGATTCAATCTCTCCAAAGAAAAGCTGCTCAGCCCCATTTTCATCCGAGTAAACAGATTTACTTAACATTACCAAAAACTCATGAGTTAGTCCACCAAATTAAAAGGCAGGATAAGGTGAAACTTTGCTGTACAAATACCACCAGGCAAATGCTGTTGCTACATGGGGCTCCCGAAAGGCTGCTGCCTGCTGTCCCAGCACAGACCTCACCAAGGAGGTATGTGTGCAGGGGCAAAGTAGAAGGAAAGCAAGCACAGAGCACATTTAAAGGACAGATATTGCCCCATCACTCACCAAATCACATTTGGTGTGAGAGGCTATGCTTTGCCCACACAGTGTTTGCTTTGGTGACTGCATTAGCTCTCCCTATATAAGTAGCTGGAGTGCATCCCTCTAAGTCTTAGATACCTCTCGCTTTCCTGCTCCTCCCAGCTGACATGAACTTGCATGTCAAGGATACCCATATCCCATTAGTCATGAGAATAATGGACTCAATTTCTGCTCCTCTAAGGATGAGCAGATACTGCCTATCACATGGGAAAGTGGGAGATAAGTCATGTGCTATTGAAAATAACCCATGATCTCACCACTGTAACTCTTATGATCTCAGAAATAACAGTCAGGTTTCCAGGATTATTTCCAAGGTGGCTCTAAGTCTAGCACTTAGAGCTGCCCCTATGGCATATGTGCTCTGTTTCACGTGAAAAGGCAATGCTGTTGCCTACTCTTGCCCTCTCCCCTTAAAGATACATCTTGTTCTGTTGTGAACTTCTGTATCCAAATGAACAACTTTTGTCCCTGCACAACATCTAGACAGCAAAGGTTTCACAATCTGAAAAATAAGGAGGTCTCTTCCTTGTTCAGAGCTAAAAAGAAGCAGCCTGGAAACAGTCACACCTGCAGTAACGGAGAGTATCAGCAGTGCACAATTCAACTCCTCTTCTAAGGGCCCTATGATACTTGGAGGACATCTGGGTGGGCTTACAAAAGCCCAGAAGTGCCAGGAGGACATGTCAGACTGAACTTCAATAAGTTTTGCATTACACATGTAAGCTTTGCCATCTTACGCCTGTCCTAAATTTAGGCAATGAATTATTATTTCTATTGCAGGTTCAAATCAGACATTCAGCCATATTTACAGAATTAGTTTAAGTCAGTCTGAGTTCCACTTTTCAAACAGAGATGTAAAAAACAGTACATGGGGAGAGAAGGAGGAACAAATTTTCATGACAGAGTTTAACATGCTTTTATACCATATCAAATTGAAGTACCTATTAAATACTTTCAACTACCTTTTTATGACAACTTATATTTATCAACATATTGTTGACATGTATTTAGTTACTAAACCTCCTCACAAGCAAAGATATTAGCAAAGGGTTGCTGAGCCTGTTGCCACTAAGAAAGGGCACCAATGATTCTACACAAGACTTGAGATCCTGCAGAGATTTGAAAAGAGGCTGCTGGGGGTTCATTGAATTTCTCAAGGATGGTGACATGAAGAAAGGACAAAAAAAATACTTATGAAAGCATAGCGCAAGCATTTTGCTTGGATACATGAAGGCACTTACAAGAAGAAGTACAAATGTATGACAACAAATCTGTGCAAGACTGAAAAGTGAAAGGCTAAAGGTGAGGAGGAGACTAATCTGAAGGAAGTTGTCACACTTCTTTCATGGCCTCCTTTCTGTCAAACACGTAAGAGAAAAGTGAGAAATAGGAATAGCAGATAGCAGCAGTTCCAGTTGTCAAGAGAGAGTGTGGCCAGGTCTGGGGAATGGAAGGTGAATGGAGCAGAGTAACCCAATGGTGAGGATGCAAACCAACCAGCATTACCACCAAGCACGCATTTTTATGAGTGCAACAGGAAGCCCATCAACTCCCACCTACTACCACCACAAAGTACAGTGCAAGCTTGTACTCATGTGATAGGGAATCCTGTGAATGTCTGTAGATCCTTCCTCCACACAGTTGTTGTATTGCTGCAGAAATTTCCGCTGGTCATTATTTCACAGCACAGCAACAGAAGGGTAATTTGTTCACAAGATCCAGTAGCAGGTGAAAAATGAAACTGAGCTAACACACTTTCTCAAAGGGAAATTGGACTTTGGGCAGGCAGGAGGAGAGTTAGCAAGCAAGGCATTGCTAGGAAAACAAGAAGTGGAACTGATGTGAATCAATAACTTTTTTTTTTTTTTAAAGGATTATTAAGCACAGTTAGAAAAAAGTGAAGCATCTTTTCCCTGGCTGGAATAAAACCAGGAAACACATCTTTGTAATGTACAGATCTTGTATTCTTCTGTTGAAATGCATGGAAATGGAGGAATACAATCTACCAGGTTCAGATTGATATCAAGATTTCTCTGCTGTTCCACAGACTTCTCATGAGATGTTGGAAGTGACCAACAGAAGTCTTGTGAGAGTAACCGCATTCTCTTTGAATTTCATCCAAAGAGAGAAAGCAATTCTGAGAGTAAACAAAAGACCAGACAGCACAGCAGCTATGATGATAATTGACCCATATCCAGAAATAGTAAATCATTATTAAAAGCAGAATTCTCTCATGCTCACTACCTCAGCTAATTCTTTTGATGGAGTTTCATTCTGAAGAGGCTTTTGCCCATAGGGTGTGCTAACACACAGGCCCAAACTGGGGCTGTATCAACACTGAGCCACAAAGTCTGAAGCAATTGTTATTGTTAGGATTTAAACAGTAACGTCCACCATTTCCTGGGGCATTATCCCATTAAATAACATTCAGAGCCAGCCTAAGCACCTCCTAATTCAGTCAGACATGGATCTCTTTCTACTCAAATGGCTGACCCAGACTTTTGTGCACAGGTGATATTTCAGTAAGAAGGAGCAGGGCTATAAATAGACACTCTGCAGCAGAAAAAACTGTCTGCTATGAAAGCTCTGCAGTCCTGGCTGGTGGCATAGGCTCTTGTTACGGAAGCTGACTTCAACAGAAGATAACAAAGAAAAGAGACAGGTTTATTGCAAGGATATGGACCCTACCTACCACTGCCTCTGCTCTCCTGTGAGTACAGGCCACCTCTACTATGCAAGTACCTCTCTCATCTGTCTTTTCTTCTTCATCTTTTAAAATTTAAATTTAAATAGATTGTGCAGAATAGTTCCAAAGCACAACACAGAGGAAACAAAATAGAAGTAGCTACTAAAAGCCAGACAGCAACTGCTCAAAATGAAACAAAAATAAGGATATGAAAATATGGTTTCACAGGCAGAGGTCTTGAGCAGTAGGACATGATTCTTCTTTTGCTGAGAGGGTTTGCTCCACTGACTTGAGCTCAGTTACTCTAAATCAAGGGGCTCAAGGGCCTTGTGACAGCACAGTTATGTCTAGTTGGCTTTAAAAAGCTAAATTTCAATGTCATAAATTCATAAATGTGCAAAATGGATAAAGGAATTAACGATGATGAGGAAATCTATTCTGTTTAGTTTTCTCTCAATCCCATGAGCACATTAACTCAGTTAATGCCACCAAGGAAATAGAGCCATTTAGTAAAACAAAGCAGTCGATTAGATTAAGCCAGCCCCATAGGACAGTAGCAGTGCCATGAGCTGATGGGAAGGGCCCTCACACAGCAGTTACAACTGGTCACAAATTGAAATGTATTTCCATTAGATAATGCCAATTCATCAAAATCTGAATCTTTTACAGAAATTGGTTGATTTTGAACAAGTTACTGTAAGATGCAGGCAATCTGCCAGCTTACTTGCTGGGCAGCATGCATCCCCAGCCACCCAGCAGGCAGTTCTCACCCTCCCGAGCTGCCCCATCACTGCCCCAGACACCCAGGTTCGCCATTTCTTTGCAGCTTGCCAGGACAAGCAATGGAACCTGGATGAGGTCAGGCAGCCCCATGGCTGCGTGTTCTGGTATCCACTGCCTGTCAGCACCCCACCATGGAAGCCTGCCTCAGCACTGGGACCTCTGCACCCCCCATCACCCAAGATGCCACATCTCAAACCCCACTGCAGAAGAATTTAAGACAATGCCAAAACCAAACAAAAATCAAGTCCGTTTGGATTTACCTTTCTTATGCAATCTAATGTCTGCAATGACACAGCTTGGAAATAGGTCACAGCCACTGTCTAAAAAGTCTGACTTTGAGCAGGCAGACAGGACTCACGGGCTGTCTGATTCTAGTGGCCAAATACATTAAACAGAATAGGATCAGAAAGAGTGGACTTAAGTTAGAGAAGTGTTATTAAATCAGATTATAATAGTTGGGAGTGATTCTAGAACTGACCAAATTATCACTGTGCTGAGCAAACAGACAAGTATACGTTATGGAATAACATTTTCTGAGTTCCTGAAATATATTTGGGAACAACCAGGGCTTCAAGCTTTGTCTAATCCTGAACAGCAAATTCACTCATATACAAATGTCAGAGAAAAAAACAGTGGATTTGGTGGGAAGGAAGACATTATGCATAAATTAAGAAAATCTTAAAGAACCCTTGGGCAACTTCTGTCTCTCCCTCTAGCAATGAAAATAAAATAAATAAATGAACTGACAAACCTAAGAGAAAGAGTAATACATATTTGCCTTGTACTTACTGAAAAGTCATCATCGGGGAATAATATCAGATCCTTAAACTGGTTATCCCCAATATTTTTTTCAATCTCTGTGATAACAGCTTCATAATCCAAAGGCTCCAAGAGTTTTGGTTTTTCCTGCTGTGGAAAAAAAAAAAGGTCAGATAATCCCTCTACAATCAAATTTGCCTTCCTCCCCCTTCATAAACTGAGATCTGCTGCATTTTTCCTTTTTTACACCAAAGTAAAGTATGAACAGCTTCTCCCCCCACCCTGCCCCTCAATTCTTCCCAGCTTGTTGCAGCTGAGCTCATGCAAGAACAGGGGAAGTGAGGAAGTTGTGCCAGTTGTAACAGTCATTCTCCATCTGAACAATCTTGTCAGCTTGTTACAGAGCCCAAAACCACCACAGTAACTTATGTGTTATTCTCAGGAACATTCTTTCTCCATAAATACATGTAGGCAAATAGACAGATGGACACAATTTGAACTGAACATAGGTATGAGTTTGAGCTAATATATACTAGAATAAGTAACCTACTAATTTCTTCGCAGTCTTACACGGTCCCACCTCTTGAACTGCTGGTAGCTTTTGAGTGTCATCACATTGTTTTACTTGGTAATAATCCAAGGTTATTCTTCTGGCACCCATCCCCATGATTTCTCTTGTCAGAAACAGGATTAGTATCATCTTAATAGTACTATTACTGCCAGAAACAGCAGTAAAGTAAGAAACCACCACAAGAACAGCCAAACAAAAGTAAAGCCACACTGTCTTAAAATACACCGCAAAAAAAACCCAGGAGAAGCCCATCTGACATTCTAGAATACATTAAACAAATGGAGAGTCATGTATTAGAATGACAACATTTGCTTAATTCAAAGAATGAAGCATCAGAAAGAGTAAATGAGAAAGGGCAAGAGAACTGCTAGAAGGGATGGAAAAGCAGGTAATGAGAGAGAAAAAGGACACTAGTGGAAAGCAAATGCAGAAACACTTCTGCAGACACTTTTTCAGTCTGATGTAATGGTGGAAATTAAGCTGTACTTTACCCACTGTTCTTGCACTGTGCTATCCAGAATCATTTAAAGGCTTCCCCTCCCTCTTCTCTAAACAAAAACCATGGTGTATTGGAGAAAAGAGCTTTCACATCTCCATAAACCAAACTTTTCCAACAGACAATCTCATGTTTCTCCATCATATTTGATTACATATATATCATTCACATACAGTCCATTATACATATAATGGTGCAAATATACAAGTCTCTCCCTCTTTTGACTTCATTCTAGAGAGTTCCTGTTTTGTAGTCATCTCAAGATTTCTCCCCAGCCCTCGTGAACACTGTTTCCCTGTACCAAATGAATCTAGGAAAAGTTTTAGTTATCAGTAACAGAGCCACACAAAATAGATTAAAACATTGGGATACACATGTTCCTAGAAAGTTATTAAATTGCTGAACAGCTTATGATAGAGTCACAGACTAACTCAGGACCTCTGTAGGTCATCTAATCCAACCCCCTGCTCAAGGCAGGGCAAGCTGGGTCAGGCTGCTTGGGAACTTGTCCAGATGAGTCTTGAAAACCTTCAAGGATGGAGATGCAATTTAGAAAGTTGGAGCTGTTCGTCCAACCGTCTATTAACTCTCTTAGTCCTGTTTGCCAGCTTAAGAGTTAATAAACTTCTAAAAATCATTAGTATTTCACATTCACAGGCCAAAACCACTATCTACTAATACCGAGACATTGAAGACTTGTAAAAGATAAGCAAGATCAACACATAACAGTAATAAACACAGCTTTTTTGAAAGCTTTTTCCCAGGAAACTGATTCATGAATGTTGCTGTGGGATGCAACAGAGAGTGAGGAAAGAAGCAATACTTAGCCTACCTAAATATGGTGTATCTTTTAACTACCAATTCCCCGGAAACCACTAAAAGATCTGTCTGTATGAATGAAATAAAAAGGGATACTGACACACAGATAGCGTGTTAGATTTCTTTCCAAATGAATCTGGAGATATACAAGAACACTTGTCTGTCTTGCATTACAGTTATGAATGGGAGATTGAAATAAAAATAAAACTTGGGGTTGTTTAACAGAAAAAGAAACTTATCTAGAGGAAGGCCCCTGTAAAACACAAAAGGCCCAAATGGGAAGAAACAGCTTTAAAATTTTATTTAGATTCTGTGACAGTACTGTATCCCAGTGTGTGATGTTCAGGTAAGACAAGGCACCCTACGAGGACACATGAGACTTCCTATTAACCCAGCCATGTTACCACAGACTGTCCCAAGCTGGTACTTGACCTGGCCAGTACCAGCTGACACGTTAATATCCAGTCCTGCTCAAGAAACGTTCAGGTTGAGTAGCAGCCATATTCTTTAGTGAGGTTTCAGGCTGCTGTGTACTGACAGCGGTTCCCCACAGGAACATAACGGGCTCATCCAAGCATCTCACTATGCACAGCTCGCTCTTGTTTCCTTTCAGGTTATGTTGAGTCACCACAGCATTCCTTAGCTACAAGCTTTAAACTCGCCTTCATTAAATCACATTAAATCTACAATTGTATCTATTTATTACATATTCGTAAAGAGACTTAAGCTTCAAGGACTTAAAATGTGGAGAGAAAAAAACAGTGCACACTGAGTGTTCCATTTCTGCTGTACCACTCATTTTGGGAACAATGCCCAGGTCTGAAATAAGTTCACTCAGTCCCAGTTTAGCAGAAAGCAAACTTGTAGTAGCATAACTGTTAGCTTCAGTAGGAAACCTTATAGCAACCACTTACAAGAAAACTCGAAGTCAAAGTGAAAAAATACGTGCAGTGACATTTATGAGGTACAAGTGTTTCATGCAGGCATTTTTCCTGTGTGGCGGTTTCACTGAAACATGTACAGTTTCTGCAGAAAGTTTGTGACATTGACTACAACAAGAACCCTCCCTTCCTAGAGCAGATACTGTTAGGCTAATGGTTTTGCAACAATCCCAACTTTTAATAAGTCAGACATGCCACTGAAACCATAAATGACCACTCTTCAAAATAGAGGTGTGTCAACACAAAATTAATCTTGGTCAGATGTTCCTTGGAACCATCATGAAAGTTAGCTTCCAAAATCTCTTAAAAAAATGTAAAGTAAGCAAATGACATAAGCATCCCCCTTCCTACTGAAGTAATAGATTAATAAAAAGCTGGGGAATCCCACAAATCTTGGGACTTCTCTTGAAATGTGGGGGAATCCCATAAAAATGTGTGGTATTTGCAGTTTCTCTACACCAATGGAAACTACCCTTTTTGCTGGGCCTGGCAGAATGAAGAGGTATTCCTTCCTCCCCCTGGAAATTGCTGATATGTTGAAGTAAGAATAGCTACATGTCCTTCAAAATTAACGTCACATAGATATTCAGATGCAGGTGAAGGTAGGGTAAGCTACTTCACACTGGCCTCTCTTTTTCTCTTCAGAAACTGGCAGCACTCAAAGGCCACTCCTGATAGCTCTCTGAAATGCTCCAAGGGAAAACTTCTCCTTGACGGCTGCAAGGTCATTATGCGAGACAAGAATACAACTCAAGAGAAAACCCTGAAGCAGAGAAACACAGCGAGAGTATGAACATCACTGTTCCCACAGCACTAATTCTTTTGCTCTCAGTGCTGCAAAGCACATGATCTGATGGAAACATTTTAACAGATGTGAACAGAGAAGTCTTATCAGAAAGTTTACACATCCGAAATGTAACTAAATATAAGTAGATGTGACATTATCAAAATTACTGCAAAGCTTTTCAGTGAAGCACTTCAATATTTATGGTGATGTTTTTCTATTGATGCAATGAAAAATGCCATTCTTCCTTCTGCAGCATTACAGCAAAATCCTGCATAAATTGCAATACTGTATCATGCCAACTCCCATGAATCAGAGATGCAAGTAATAGCCCATCCTTGCCAATACACTGACTGCAGAGATAATCTAGTCCATCTCCTGCTAACACCAAGCATGAGAGTATAATAAGCATGATGCCTCTCTTTATCAATTCTGCATGTTCTCACAAACCTTAAGACTTTGCAATGTGAACACTGACTCCATTGGATTTGGCAAAGCTTAGCACTGCAATGCTTAGTATTGCATTTGTGATGGGAAGTAGCAGCTGCTTTAGTTAGCAGTTTAGCTCTAGAAGGCGTGGAATGACTGCTCAGTTTTCTTTCACAGGCAAACAGAAGCAGCGAAGTTGGGATTAGCAAATTTCTTCCCGCAAGCACTAGCAGAGATTTGTAAATGAGTAGGGCTGATTTAAAGCTATTTTAATAACCATAGTTCTGCCTCTTCACAATTTAACTTGTCTGTTCTTTTTGGAAACAGACCAACCTAGCAATCTGTGCCAAGATCAAATTATGCTGGCTTGGGCTTTTATAATGCTTTTTATATCCTCTATCTCAAGTGAGTAATGAATTACATTTAGTTGTACTGAAATGGTTGTGAATACATCTAGTAAAAAGGGACTCTCCAACTCCTCACCATTTACTTCACACCCTGACAGTGTTGTGGACCATACTTCTGCATGTTGTTGAGCCAACTCTTTCAAACTCTTTTTGAATAGTGAAGAGATCTTTAAGGACGGCAGGAGCCAACATCACAGAGGGATAAAACCTACTTAATTTGGCACAGGTGAAAGCCCAGATTCCTCCAGTGATGTACAGCTTGATTGCCATCATCTTCTAGTCCAGGTACAAAAGCATTATTTTTGCCCAATAATGACCAAAACCATCCACATAAATGATTTTACAGAAACAGATACAGTACCTGGCTTGCCTCCAGCTGCACACATATTGTGCATTGATGCTAGTACCCATCTTCTCTTCATAATTATAGGATAAAATGACTTGTACATCATCCTCCTAAAGTCGTATTTCTGTGAACACTCACTGAACAAGGAAATGATGTAACTGAGACCAGTAGTCTCTGGATAGTCATCCCAAGCACTTCCCCATTCTAAAAATAAACTAGACCAAATGCTATCATTTTCTAATGCTTTAATTATTCTCAGACACCAAATTCTGAGTATCTAAAATGTATTGAATTTAATACAGATGTTTAAATGAATTTCTTCTCTTCCCCATACCAAGAAGAAGAAAATTAAAGAAA